AAACTTTGCTTTTAACCAATCTACAGTGTCATTAACCACTGAACTTCAGCTTCTGAGTTCAGTGACCCAGCCAGTTTTGTCCATGCAGTGGTCCACCCATTTGGATTGTAGTGACCCAGCTTTGATATGTACTGCTCTGGTTAGTCACAGATTCTACTGATTTTATTGTAGAAGGCAGCTGGGCTCATTAGGCTTTTTTTTTATATAAAAAAAAAACCCCAACTTGGTAAAGGCTGGCTATTCCTAGCCCCTGTTTTTTCCTTCCTGTCTCTAGAAATGGCTTTCAGAAGGACTTTCTTAGGAATTTCTTAGCAACTGAAGTGAAGCTGACCTACTTGTTGTTCCTCAGGTCATCCTTCTTGCCTTTTTGAAAGATGAGCGTGACATTTATCTTTCTCCAGTTATAGAGGACTTCTGATAATCTCCATGACCTTTCAAAGATGATAAGAGAGTAGCCTTGAAAAAATATCAGCTAGCTCTTTCAGGACCTCTGGATGCATCCTCTCTGGTCTCAATTTTTTCTTTAGTGTGCAAAACATAAAATAATAGTTCAAAATGTTCTCTCTTCCTAAAAAACAGTAAGTCTGTTTAAAGGAGAACGGTTAGAACTCTTTCAGAGTAGCTAGGTGTTTAAAGCTCTATTAAGATGAAACTTCTCTGAAACCTAGTATCAGAGTTTCTTGGTAGTTGCTAGTGTGGAAACTGTAGTAATGGTTCCCTGAATGTATTATGTCTCAAGGTATGCTAAGTCAGGGCATTTGTGGTTGTCCTTGGTTCTGCGGTCCGTTTCCCTCCCTTATGTAGGTACCAGTACTCACATGATCGGTTAGTGAGGTAAGGATCCTCATGGCTTCCCCTCCTCTTCCCTGTAGCTCCAACCGTTGTTTCATTTTCTTCTGATCAGCTCTCTCCACTAGTGTACATTACAATTGCCTTGGCACCATTTAATGTTGCACAAGAAAAGGGGCTGAGAAGAAACAGGAGGGTGAGACTGAGACAGCCCGGTCCTAGATTAATTCCCACAGCTGCAGAACATCACACCGCCTTCAATTGGAAGAAGCAGAGATGTGGTTTTTATACCTGCAGTGTTTCACTTGAAAGATCCTCAAAACTAGCTCTTAGATGGTTTTAGCAGTTAGGAAGGGCAATATTTGGGCCATATGTTTCTAGATAATTGATATTTTTGATATGCAATGCTGTCAAAGTTTATTGGGAAGTAATTCCAAGTCAGGCTTGTTTTTTATGAATACCTGCTCAACACTTGTCTTCTGGATTGTAGTTCTGACGTAGCATTGCCATACTGCTGTCTTGCTTGAAAAGCAAGTTCTAGTAAAATTCAAGTGTTAAATACAATTAATTTTTTGTTCTACAGTTAGTGGCAGAGCAGGGTTGAATTTCACATTTTTCCTTAAATGTTGTTATAGTACAGGGAAGTGCATTTGTTGTAAAGTGGGTGTTGAGTAGGATCAGTGCTACAAGCTTGTCATGTTCTTCTTGCTTTAAAAAAACCTTGTGGTTGAACTCTGGTTATGTAAGTCTGTATTTTTGATTGAGGTTTGGAGGTGGCAGTTACGTACCTGCTTTTAAGTGCTTTGAGGAAGACATAAAATAGCCTGTTTTCTTTACAGATAAAAAGATTGCACGCTAGTGATTTGTCTCCATTGATATGGAATCAGCTGATAATTAGCGTAAGAACTTACTGAGTAGTGTATTTTCCTCAATAAGCATCTCTGAGGTTTCTTACTGAATATATCACCAGCACTTGTATGCCAGATCTCAGTGTGAGCCGAACATTTAAGATGGGAGTGTTTGCATCTCCTGTTCCACACTTTTCGTTTTGGAAGGGTTTACCACTCGGATCTTTTGAGAATTTGGTTACATTAGCTGGTTTTAGTTTCTGTGTATGTCTGCTCTGCAATTCCAGGATAAGAAGTAGCTTTGTGTGAGAACTGAATGACCTAAAATCAGCTTAGATGCTGTAAAAAAACTTTGGTCTCCCTTATGGATTTTGTTTGTCCCTTTTGGACCTCAGAACAGAGACTAGCTTATGTATTTTATTTTGGAGCAGTATTATAGAATCATAGAAAGTTTTGGGTCGGAAGGGACCCCTAGAGGTCATCTAGTCCAACCCCCCCGCAGCGAGCAGGAACACCGCTAACTAGATCAGGTTGCTCAGAGCCCTGTCCAACCTGGTCTTGAATGTTTCCAGGGATGGGGCCTCCACTACCTCTCTGGGCAACCCGTTCCAGTGTTTCACCACCCTCATTGTAAAGAATTTCTTCCTTATATCCAGCCTAAACCTACCCTGTTTTAGTTTAAAACCATTACCCCTCGTCCTGTCACTGCTGTCTCTACTAAAAAGATTGTCCCCACCTTTCCTATAGGCTCCCTTTAAGTACTGAAAGGCTGCAATCAGGTCTCCCCGCAGCCTTCTCTTCTCCAGGCTGAACAAGCCCAACTCTCTCAGCCTGTCCTCATAGGAGAGGTGCTCCAGCCCTCGGATCATTTTTGTAGCCCTCCTTTGGACCCGCTCCAACAGTTCCATGTCCTTCTTGTGCTGAGGGCTCCAGAGCTGAACGCAGTACTCCAGGTGAGGTCTCACCAGAGCAGAGTAGAGGGGCAGAATCACCTCTCTCGACCTGCTGGCCACGCTTCTCCTGATACAGCCCAGGACACGGCTGGCCCTCTGGGCTGCCAGCGCACATTGCCGGCTCATGTCCAGCCTTTCGTCTATCAGTACCCTCAAGTCCCTCTCAGCAGGGCTGCTCTCGATCCTTTCACCCCCCAGCCTCTATTGATAGCGGGCATTACCCCGACCCAGGTGTAGGACCTTGCACTTGGCCTTGTTGAACCTCATGAGGTTCACACAGGCCCACCTCTCCAGCTTGTCCAGGTCCCTCTGGATGGCATCCCGTCCTTCTGGTGTCTCAACCGTACCACTCAGCTTGGTGTCATCTGCAAACTTGCTGAGGGTACACTCGATGTCGCTGTCCATGTCATTGATAAATGTATTGAACAGCACCGGTCCCAGTACGGACCCCTGAGGGACTCCACTCGTCACTGGTATTTGGGTGACTTAAAAATAAAGTGAAAGATACTCTTAGACTTCTCGCTTCCTGTGAATGAATTAAGCTTTCCAATGTCCACGTTGAGATGGTTGAGACCAAATATGCTATCCTGTTTTCTGAGAAGTTGACAAAGGGAGCTTGCATGTGTGGGAATGTAATTTCAGGGCTGCAGCCGCCACTTCTGACTATGGAAAATTTTTGTGATGTCTGTTCTTAAAGATGCGAATAATACTAGGTTTGAAAATTCCTGGTGGTGAAGGGTTGGAGGGGGCCTGCAGTGTTGTAAATGCCATTGCCTTGCTAATTCTGGTGCCATTTCAAGTATTTCCTAAATGGATTGTATTTTATTTTAAAGGTAGCTCCTTTTTTTATACGTGTATTCTGACGAGAAGGCTATTACAAGACCTGTCTAATTTCCAGCCTAGCTTAAATAAGCTTTCTTTTAATATTAGCATTATCTTCTAGCTTATTCTTCTCCCTCTTTGCCCCCTTC